GGGACATTTGTCTATCAACTTACGATGCTTGAGTGTCTCCTTGAACTAAGGAACAGGCCGAACAAGATAACCTGCGAGGCCCCTTGGAACATTCCATGTGTTCCACAAAGAGGGAAGAGAGTGTAAAGGGAAGGGAAAGAATGAATTTCTGAGTTGCACGAGCTAGCGCTGTGGACAGGACACAGGAAACGACTTGATGGTGTGGAGAATTCAGTTCCAATGCATTTCCAAAGACATACTACAACATGAAGACACCTCATAGACTCATTCAAATGAGTTAATCCAAGCTTGCACATTCCATCTGGTGTCACTGAAATGGAGACATCTTAAATATTTGGTACGAAATCTTGGACTGGAGTGTGAAATAGCATAAGAGGCATCGAACAGAGGTGGGGAAGCAGCCTCGTGGCTTAATGCATCAAATTTTGTTTTGGCTGCATCCCTGAAGTGAAATGTGGCTTACCTTTTGTCTTGGATTTGGAGGCTAAAAAGAGTCTAGCAGACAATATCATACTTCCCCCTAATGGTTTCAGAATAATCTTACGGGGCTGTCATAACCAGAATAATTATTGAAAAGGCTGCAATCACTTTCCAATGGAGTTCTTCCTAAGGGGACTGGTATCTGCAAGGAAATCTGGAGGCTTGTCCCCAACGTGTCTTCAGAGCTCATTGTGGGAGGTGCAGACCAAAGGTGAGTTTACACATCAGTGACTAAAGTTTCCTGTCACTGAGCAGAAGAAGTCACTCATGAGCAGCGTCCCTAAACCACAGCTACAGGATGTGGGCACAAGCCCTTGTATAATTGTTGGCCAAAAGCCAGTGAGCATTCATCCCTGTGCAAATACTTGGGCTTTTTGTGTGTGTGTGTTGTTGTTCTTAACCTTTGGAAACCACAGGCATTAGCCTCTCTCTTTCTTCCCTTTGGCATAAGTCATCTTCTTTTCTCCAATGTGGTCTCTTGTGTGCAAAGAATTTCTGAGGAGCTTTTAAGCCTAAATTTAATACTTTTGGCCTCTCTCTGCTGCCCTACAAAATGCCAGGTAGAGGTAAAGCTACCTTACCAAACATCTGCTAGCTCTGCTGGCTTCCGCAGCTTTGTTTGGGCGTTTTGATCAGATAGGAAGTCAGAGTGTTCCAGGAGTGACCTTAGCCTTTACGAAAATAAAGGCAACTTCTGGAAATCCCCCCCAAACAACTGTGGCCTATTGTTTTCTCACTTTAGAATTAACCCAACTGTATGATACAAGGATCGCAATGAAATTGTCTCTGGGAACGGAGGTGCTACATTGGACAGAGCTGTGGGTCAAAAATAGGAACTGGAGAATTTAGTCTAATCCCAGCGTTGCCAAGAATTCACTGTCTTTTTTAAAGCATTATTTTTTTCAGTTTCTAGGCTTGTGCTTCATGTTCTGTGAAATGAAGGCATTGGTTTGGCAGGTTTCTCTCCTTCCTTAGCCCCAGGGCTCTGTAAAGTGGCTCCTTGAGTAATATTTCAACAAAGGGACCATGAAACTGGGACTCAAGGCAAAGGATCTGGAAGCAGCCAACACATAAACTAGTTTTTCCTTTCTATGTTAAAAGATGAGCACAAGTCAGGGCACCAAAGAGCCCAGCTGACCCCTGAGAAGTCAGGCATGTTGACCATGACCAGCCCTTCCTTGTAAACTAAGAAATGTGGCAGCCTCACTTCTGTTCCCAAATGCCCCCACCCTGGATTGGAGAGTTAAACCACCCTACACCAGTCAGCATGTTTTTAAATGAAAGAGCTGGCAGGTAGACACATCTTGTTCTGAGTCAATAGGAGGAGATTTTTTTTTTTTCTGAGACACATCAGAAGATTTTGAGGGCTCTCTTGTTCTGAGTCAATAGGAGGAGATTTTTTTTTTTTTCTGAGACACATCAGAAGATTTTGAGGGCTCTATTGATGGAGATTCAAACAGATTCTGAAGGAAGCCTTATTAGAAATTTTGTATTTGGAAAAACTGAAAGAAACAAAGATCAGATAAAAAGACCGCCAAGCAACACAGGATTGTGGTGATGTTGGAGTTTTAAGGTTCTTGTATCCAGTCCAGTTTCAAATTGGATCGATAATTCCCATTTGGGAAACGTTAGTGGAAGATTTCCAATGACAGAGGGAAAAGCCGGGGTGCACATGTGGCTCCCCTGGTCTGTGGCTATCAGTTGAGCATAAGGACAAAGAACTCAATGAGAACACCACACATCAGATACTAGTAGCTTCATGTGACAAAGAAATAATTCCCATCAGGAACTGAATTGAATTATCCCAGCTGCTGCCCCAGTCTTCAGCAGAAGTCACTTTACATAGGCAGGAACTCGATGTTTTCTGGGTCAGTGAGAGGGTTTGACACCATATCACTGGGGCTCCACATCTGGGAAATAAGCATAAACTGCCTCCAGTTTGGATATTAGAAAATTAAGCATTAGGAAAATTAAAGCAATTTTTAGGAACTCACAGGACTGATTCAGTTCTTTCCAACACAGGTCTCTAATTATCTGAATGTTTAGCAACCATTATTTAGAGAAAAACAGGTCAATGGCCTTAAAGGTCTGTATCGACTTTTCAGATATTGTACTACACCAATGCCATTCCCAGTGTACATCATTTCTAGTCATCTTTATATCAAGTGAGTTGGGGCTCATACTTCAAGAAGTAACCCTTCAGTCTTTGGATATTTGACACTAAAAAGATGTTCTTTCTTACCTTGAAATGCTACTCAAATTCCTGAGTCCTCTCACTTAGTGGACAACCCTGCTTTGTAGAGCCCATGTATTAGTCAACTATCTTGTCCAAGTATCTTTAGAGAAAGTTTTCAGGGAAGCTCTGGGCTTACTCTTCACCATATGCAACACAGAGACCAGATCTCAGAATGAAACAGCCTCCCCTTCTCTTCTCCATTTTGGGTAGCTTCCGCTGAGGATGCTACACTGTGTCCTATAGAAAGTCCCTTAGGAATGTCTGACTGAGCTCTACAAAAGGGACAGACATGCACAGAGCAATCAATCACCAGGAAAATCCTTAAATGGTAACTTGAGAGAGTAAGCTGGGCATTTTGGAGGCTTGTGCCAGTAAATGCCACTACCTGGAGGCATATGGGGATTTTCAGGCAACAATATTAAAATAATTTGCCAATGACGCCTGCTTCAGAAGTGCTGCCAAAACAATTGAAGGACTTTTCATTCCACTACTGTTGACAGGACAGCTAAGGATTTCAACATTTCCTCTCCCAGTCTCAATAGAAGTTCCTTGCCTTAGGGTCTTGAACAATATTTGCCATCCTGGGGGAAGAGGTAGGTGTGACAGAGCAGGATGAAGGAAGGAACAAAATAGTAATGGAAGTAAACAAAACGGAATAAGGGCTATTTATTCAAGTTTTGTTTCTAAACGTGTGTACCAAATTGATAACTGCCTGGACCTGAGTCTTTGAATCTGAGGAAGAAAGCTTTCTAAGGGAGAGAGAGAGAGAGAGAGAGAGAGAGAGAGAGAGAGAGAGAGAGAGAGAGAGAGAGAGAGAGAGAGAGAGAGAGAGAAGGAAACGTCAGAGGAGCCAAAGAATAAAACAGCTAGAACTTTCAACCTTAGCATCAAGGTAAGTATCTCAACTTTGGGTCTCAGTAGTGGCAAAAGGCTGCCTGTAGTAATGTTTACAGTGATGGGCATTCAGAGTGGCTAAGCTAAAAAATGTAAGATTTAAAATTCTAAAAAGGAAGAAACTAAAAGAAATGAAATGCTGTCCTGGGTTGCTCAAAATTAGAGCCAAGTCAGGAGGACACCAGAAGAACTAAAAGGAAAAAGAAATGGATACGAAATGAATGAAAACAATGTTTTGTAGTGGTGCCCTCCAAACCCTCCAAAATCAGGAGTCTAATAAAGGAGAAAGCTGGTCCCAACCCCACTGTAACCACAGGGCTCGCTCTTCTTCTGTGTCCTATACTGACATTCCACAAAAGATTTCATTGGAAGAGGATATGTTGTTAAAAGATACTTGAAAAAACACTGCAAAATAGAATGAACTATTGGACAGTAGTGACCGACTGTGAAGTGTTATGATCACATTGTGCTTTAGGAACGGACAGCGAGGTGGATGACTAATTGAAAATGCCTTGAGTAGAGATCCTAATTAAGAGACCATGTTAAGAACTGAAGACTTGATCAGTGAAAGATGGAATTCAGAGGGAGACTGTGGGTGGTTTTTGATTTTTAGTTTATTTTTTTTTCTTTTCAATGCTAAGAATCAAATTCAAGACTTTGTACAAATTGAGCAAACTCTATGGGAATGAGCTTTGCCTCTAGTCTTAGGAGAATGTATTTTAAGCTTGGATACAATGTTATGCCACATACCCATGTATTACTATAATGGGATGTCTTTGGCTTAGAATTCAAACCATGAAACTGGTAGGTTTCAGAGATGGATTATAAAAAATACCACAGAGAAATCTGGATTTGGAAAATGCTTAAAGCAAGGGAGCATCAGAATGACTGATATAGGCATGACTGGAAGACATGAGGCAGAGCCTGAATCTTGGGGTAAATATCAGAGATAGGACTACAGACTAGAATGTGCTCATAAATGGCGGCTACAATAGCGGAGCCAGTGAGAGCTTAACAAGAATAAAACAGGGTTCATGGGATGAGAACTAAAATATTGAAAGTACCTGTGGATGTGCGGAATAGAAAAACAAAAGCTTAAATTTTAGCAAATTTAAATTTAAGTTGCATGATGGACTCTGTCCAGAGGTTTTAAATTAGGAGCTCATGAATTTCATGAGCTCAGAAGTATTTAGTCTGGTTTCACAGAAATTTTATTTCCCTCATATGAGACTTTAAATGTCTACCAGTCTAATCAAGCTTTTAGACTTCCTAAAACACTAATAAGTCAGTCCTTTCAATATTATTTTAAAGTAATGATTGTAATCCCAAAAAAGTAGCGAATTTAAACACATCAGTTATCTATGGATGATGTGCTTTGTAACAAAGAGGCTCAAAAGCCAATACTCCCCCGAGCAAGCGAATAGCCAAGTTTGTTCCGGTTTCCAATGAATGACATGAGCCCTGTGTAGGTCTCAATCAGGATAGGTTGGGTTAACACCATGAGTTCCTTTCCTCCTCCAGACCCAGCAGAATCCTTGCGAGCATTCTCGATAGCTGGAACAAGCTTCGAGGTGAACCCAGACAACTGAGGAACAAGGGGAGAATCATAAAGTTAGTGACTCCAGGGAGCTCCTGAACATCCCCTCCCAGGCAGTCCCCAGTGGGGTATACCACCCTCCTGGGGACAACAGCTCTTACTTCTTAAACATGAATGATGCCTCAGAAATGTTGGAATTGCTTTTGTTTAACTTTTAATATAGTACTCAGCCAAGAAAGAACACACATAGTAAAATTATCTGCCTTATTTGTTTTGCATTATTCATAACTTGTACAACATTAAGGAATCACCTTAATCAATATTTGCCCATAGTCTATTACGAATTACATTCTTCTTGGACACTGCTGAATGCTAACGGCCAAATAAGAACAATTGCTGCCCTCAAAAGACAATTGACTACGATGTAGGCTACAAAATCCACCTGCTGGAGTAATGCGAAGTTCATTATAACAGGCAGGAAGAGAGGCAGAAATACCTATGAAGAATGATGTCAAAAGGAGACCCGTGGGCAATCTCTAAAGATTAACAAGATTTCCACGGATAGAAATGACATTGAGCAAGTTACAAAGGGCCTAGGGTGGGTGTTATGTCTTCCAGCTCGGCCTCCTTCCTGCCACATGGAATTCCTCAGAGAATATCCATGCCTCTCACTACTACAAAGGCAGACAGAGAAAATATTCAATCCCATAATTTCAAACCATGTTCCTTAAGCACAACACTTGAGTGGCAACGTGGACCTTTTGTTCCTGGCGTCCTTGTTTATTTATTTTTTGAGAACTACATATATGAATATTGTATCTTCATCACTCTTGTCCTCCATAGCCCCCCAAACTCTTCTCATGCTTCCTCATCCCTCCCTAATTCATGACCTCTTCTTTGATTATTTTTGTTATATACACACATGCGCATGTACGTGTATATGTATATATATATATATATATATATATATATATATATATATATATAAAACACCTGTCTATCAAGTCCACTTAGCAGTGTGTGTGTGTGTGTGTGTGTGTGTGTGTGTGTGTGTGTGTGTGCGCGTGTATGTGTGTGTATACAAGGCTGACCATTTGGCATTAGACAACCCATGTGGGAGTTTGACCCTGGAAGAAACTGATCCTCCCTCTCTCTCTGCAGCCATTGATCACTTGTAGCTCTGCAAGTAGGGGCAGGACCTTTGAAATTCCCTCCCCCTCATCCATGTCAGCATGTCAACTGATATCATCATGCAGGTCTCATTAAGGAAGCCATATTTTGAAAATTCATGAATGCATATTTTCTATCATGTGACCCTAGCTAGAACCGGGCATCCTAGTCCACTGGCTCTTACAGACTTTCTACTCCTCTTCCTCAATGGTCCCTAACCCTAGGTGTGTGGGTTGTGTTGCACATGTGTGAACTAGAGTTGGGCATCCCAGGGACACTTATTGTCTCCATTTTAACCAGTTGTGAGTCTCTGTAAAAGTCTCCATCTGTTTCCCAAAGAAGCTTCTTCGATGAGAGATGAGAACTACATTATATGTGTAACTTATAATACAGGTACAAACCACTCTTTTGAAAAATAGGTGCTATTATTAATAATGTCGGTTTAATGGGTACCTTTGGGCTGGAGACAAGAGTTGTAAAAGAAAACGCAAGACAAGCAGGCAATCTGTTTCAATTCCTTCACTCAACCCAATGGGATATTTTTATTCCTTTCATTATACTTAGTTTAGAGTCAGATTTTACTTTAAAAAAAGATTTATTAATGAAAATCATTGAACTGCTCCCTAACTTGCACAGTCCATAATTTAATCCACAAAGTTTTGTAGTTTCCATATTTCTTTTCATTTTTCAAAACCAAGGCTCCATAATGCCTCCCTGCATAGCCAATTAAAAATATTCTTTTCTTCTGGGACTGGAGAGATATCTCAGCAGTTAGGAGCACGTGCTGCTCTTGCAGAGTACCTTGGTTGAGTTCCTAACACCCACAGGATGGCTCACAACCATCTGTAACTCCAGCTGCAGAGAATTTGACACTCTCTCCTGGCCTCCAACAGCACCATGGTATGCAGAGACATGTGGGCAAAACACTTACACACATAAAATAAAAATAAATGATTTATAATAATAATAATAATATAATAATAATAATAATAATAATAATAATAATAATCTTTTCTTCCGTTGCATTTCACTGGTATCTCCACTCAAATATATTAACAAGTTTTCAAAGCAGAATTGCAAGTGTGGCCTTTACATAGTAAGCTATCATAAGGCTATTACTATTTGGGAATCAAATAGAGTTTTACTATGAAGGAGAGTATCTTTCACAGTTTAAGTATACGGCATACTCTGTAACACCTATCTCTCAGATGCCTGTAGGATTTCTACTACACAAAAGTCTCTACTCATTCTAATGTTTGTTCCCATTCTATCAACCTCCAACCTTCCCCTCTAAACACACACACACACACACACACACACACACACACACACACACACACACACACACACCACTTTAAATCCACATATTCTTAGTCATTATCTAAGAACATTTCATATAGCTTTGTAATTTGTAGCTTTTGGTCATGTTTCCTTTGCTTAAAAGGTCTTATCTTGCCTCAGCTCTAGAATTTTGGAACAATCCAAAGTCCCTTCCTTTTAAGATGTAGGGTGGTACATGTCTGCATTCCAATACTCAGGAGACAAAGGACAGAAGGATGAAATGCTCAAGACCAACCTGGGCTATGTACCAACACCCTATCTCATTTAAAAAGACTCATTGAACTACGGAACACGCAGATTCACGATATATGTAGCATTAAGTACTGGGATTAGATAAATGTTAAGTTGTAAACAAGGTACTCACTAATGGTGTGCCCCCTGGGTAAATTATTAAGCCTTCCTGAGTTTCATATTGTCTTTCCTTAAAAACGAGTATACTGATAATATCAAATTCATAGGTAAAGCAAGTGAGAGAGAGAGAATGACTGTGTGTTCATATACAGCAGGAGTGGCCAGGGCATGCAATGAGATAAGGCTGGTATTCAGAATCATTGCAGAAACCATTAACAAGTTTGTTTCTTACAAACAATAAATATTAGCTCCTTTATCATTATTTTCATCATCATCATCATCATCACCATCATCATCAAGAAACCACCATCTCCAAAATGGTAAAACACAGTCTCAACATTTCCATTTGCCAAGACCACCTGGATTAACATAATGCCTTCTCAGAAGTTAGTGTCTGTCAAATGGGATTACTGAACACTTCTTCAGAACTCATTGTAAGTGTCATTTCTTGAGAATCCCCTGTGGTCTCAGAATGTAAGGGCTAGAAAGAAAATATTGACACTCTTTCATACTCAGCACACTTCATTTCATTGGTTACACTTCATTCCCAGTCATGTCTGGAACACTCTCAAAGGGGGTAAGCCATGCTTACAGGGACAAGCTGCTCCCTAAAGGAGTGGCAGACAAAAGGCCACGCACCCAAGCTGGCTCTTGAGCATTTCAAGCACCTGAACTCAATCTATGTGACAGGAACGCTGTGTCATCTGATATGAATGCCACCAGCCACATACTTTTGTCTAAAAGCTTTTATACACCCACCTCTGTCTCCCGCTTTTATTTCTGGCTCAAAAACACAGGGTCAAGTTTTAACAACTCCAGTTACATGGGGGCCGTGTGCTGGTGTGGGTGAAGCATGGTAGTGTTCACGGAGGAGGAGGTGCAGTATTCTTGACTTTAGAGCAATTATTTACCAGCTGAGTGCCTGGGCCCCCAGTTGCTTCAGGTGCTGTCTGCCAGCAGCTCCCGCCTAGAATCTCAGTTTTCTTTATTACAACCATCACTTGCTTCCTGTTTATACTGGGCAAAGAGACCAGGTTTCACGCTTGCAGGCCCACATTCCATAGCTGGGCAGATTTTCCTAGCCTTGGGGCCACAGGTTTCAACCCTTCTCTGTAGAGAGGAAGGCACCCTGGGATGAAGAACAAATCATCCAGTACTGAAGATGTGAAACCTCTTGGCAAGTTACAGTGCTGGTCAAAATGCATGTCATCCGTGCACATTTTCTCTGGAATTAACAATTGCTTTGTGCGGACCCTGTAACTGTGGGTAATTTAAAGTGTACAGAGAAAACAAAGAGAATGGGGCAGAAGTTTCTTTTCTACAGAAGAAGCTTCCACTCATTCTGACTTTCATCCTCATCCTAGTCACTTCAACTCTCCCTTCTGAAACACACACACACACACACACACACACACACAGCATCACACACACACACACACACACACACACACACACACACACAGCATCACACACACACACACACACACACACACACACACACACACAGCATCACACACACACACACACACACAGCATCACACACACAGCATCACACACACACACACACACACACACACACACACACACAGCATCACACACACACACACACACACAGCATCACACACACACACACACACACACACACACAGCATCACACACACACACACACACACACACACACACACACACACAGCATCACACACACATACACACACACACACAGCATCACACACACACACACACACACACACACACACACACAGCATCACATGTACACACACAAAAAGTCCCTTAGGTCTATACTTAGTTCCATGAATATTAGTGACTATTAAGGTGTGGAGGTATATTTATTATTGCATGGCCTTAGTTTCTCTACTTAATTCCTGTGTTTAAGTGTCTTGACTTTTAAAATGAAGATATTTATTCCTATCTTAGATGTTTTGTTAGTTAATTTACATGACAATATCACCCATCCTACGAGCAATAAAAGTAAAGTAAAATGATATGGTATGTGAGATTATTTTTGGGTTCTACCTTAAATGTGATATAATCTAGTATCTTACATTTTGCCAGTTGTGTGTTTCGAGTAGTACAGAGCATGGCACGTGTGCAGATTTGAAAAGATTTCAAGGTGGGCAGGTAAGGCGGACTTCCAGAAAGAAGCCATTTTCAGCCCTGTGTTTGCAAGATGTGGAAGTGACTTCCACTTCTGATGTCTACCAGGAGGCATCACGTTTTTTACATCACATGATAGTATGAACTTGAATTTGAACACCCGTGGGTATAACAATTCTCTCTCAAGTACCTTCCTAACTCAGCCTTGATTGTGAAAGTCCCTAGCCCCACCTTTTATCCAGGGTACTCTTGAGGAGAGAGGGATAAGAAATATTAGGTAGAAAGAGAGACCTAGCCAACAAGAGGAAAGACAGAAACACAGGATAGCTTCGGGAGGACCAGGGTCAATATCCAACAGCCCAGAACTTCATTCAAAAGGGTTTTTTATAACAATGCCAAGGGGAGGGGCAAAAGACTTCCCCCTTACTAGATACAGCCAAGTGTGGACCCTCCCAAACACCTGGTACCCAAGCCCGTGGTCCAATCATCCTCTTATGCAGTCCTGCTGGGTAAAGCAAGCTCAGATCTCACTAGGAAACCTCTGTGGGCTCCCACACCTGATACAATGTCACCTGATTTGAAATGTCTGTCTCCAGTTCAACTTTCTCTAAGGTAATTCAGATGCAAAGTTCTAACTACCTAACTATTCTATGGATGTTTCAAACATGTTATCTCATAAGCTAAACTAACCCCTCACATTCATGGTTATCGACATTCAAATTAGTGTATTTCACCATCTAAATACCTAGTAGCTACCTCAGCCTAACTTCTCTATCGTTTTCTGTATCATATTGGTCATGTGTTTTTATTAACTCCCTGCTGAGTAATTCAAAATTTCCTTACTCCCTACTACTATGACTCCAACTTGCTTTGGCTCTTGTACTTATTGTCTAGGTCATCATATATTCATACTGGGGATCAATGTAAGATTACACACCAGCTAAACTACTCTCTCCGTGGACATTATATACACCTTTACTGACCTCCATTCCTTTTCACTGGAATCAAACTTCCATTTTTAAATCTTCACATGTCTATTTGTTGTTTCTGTCAAACTCCTCTACCTTGCCCATGGCTCAAATATCATCTCACTTATGCTTGTATCCTTAGCAACAATTATACTTGTATTCTGTGAATGCCAGAAAATATGCAGTGAAAAAAGAGGTTCTAAGAGAAATACTCTGGCAAAGAATGAGTTTGAATATTTTTTTTAATAATAGGTTGTTTCATTAGCTTGTAAGCAATTTGGACATTTTGACTATGTGTAACTCAACTTCATAGTTTCTCTCCCCTGTGCTACAACATTTGCAAAATTGAGTTGAATTGCTTCCTGGCTTTGACTTAGTTATGCATTTCTCCCATTTTCCTCTGTCTCATTAGTAAGAGAAATTGAAAGAAAAATCTCAACCCTTTAAAAATCTCATTGCATGAAAATATTCACATAAGCTATACATATTCAAGATTCAGCAAAGAATCCCTGTTCAAATCTCCATTTCCATATTAGTATAGCAAAACCTTAATCAGACTCCATCCTGGAAAAAGCCCTAATGACATATAATGTTATAACATATAAACCAACAAGAAAAGAAGCCACAATTTGGAGACCTAGACCAAAGACTTACTCACATCCCAGATGGCGACCATTGCCTTTCGAAGAGAGTTTCATTTGGGATGATCTTTGAATAAGAATTGGCTTTAGCAAATGAAAGTTCCAGACTGGTGCCAAGAAGGAATAAGGAAGGAAGGAAGGAAGGAAGGAGACTAATAATTTAAGAAGAAACGATCGATCTTGCAGGGGTCTCGCAAACCATGATCTAAACTCATCCCTCCGGATTGTGCCCTATGCAATGTCCCCGTTAGTCATTCTTCACTCTTGTCCCTTGAAGAAACCTCCCACTCTGCTCTGTAAGAGATTCTGTCCATCTTCTATATACTCACACAGAGAAACAAGGTGGGGGGGGGGGGCTTAAAATCAGCACATTTAACAGAGCCATACAGTGATCTGATTGACTAAAAACCAACCAACTAATGTTCATAATACTTGCATAGGCATGTATATGCTTCACACACATACATACACACACACACACACACACACACACACACACACACACACACACTCACACACACACACTGAGAGCTCTAGTGCTAAATGCAGTGATCTAGTCTCCCAACTCCATTCATAAATACTTCGGCAAGGATTCAAACTCCCTCTAATATTTCACCTTTCACATTCCTTGAAAAAAATTGTTTTATTGCATCTGTGTGTAGCAGACTACAACAAAGTACTATCAAACTATCACATTTTTCTGTAGTGCACAGAACTAAGTCCTTAATCATTCATTGTGAACTTCTTCCAGCAAACGCCATTCAGAAATAAGTACCTCCTGCCTCAGGTACAAGGAACAAGAGATGGCTTGTCCCAGGGAGTGACATGTGCAATGACTAAGTTGGTTAAGTATTTGTATTGGCTAATAGTGAAGTTCAACTATTAATACAAAAATATATATCATTTTAATGATTAAAAACAGTTTTCCTTTAGAGAAAAAAATTCCCGTGAGAAAATTCATTATTACACATTTTAGTCTGGATTAACAGGTATCTTAATAAATGTCTTCCATTGCAACTAATAATAGCAATGAAAAATGGGAGTTTGGGGAGGGCATGGACTGAAGAGGACAGAGGATATGATGGAGGCATATGTGTTTTTACTCCTAAGGACTTTTGAACAGAAGGGGAGCTGGTACTACATCTGAAATTGGGCACCTGAGTTCCATACACACTCTCCCTCTGCCTCTCAATTCCCTCTGCAAATCTGCTCTTATAGCAGGGCTTGGTGGAAGTGTTTTGGTGCTGGTCTTGGTTTTCACTCTGGTTTTTTTGTTGTTGGCTTTAGGTGGTAAAGTGTCAGCCTAGGAGCTGCTGTTGATGGCTTGGTTGGGGGATTGTGAAATGGGTATCAGATAAAGTGTAGCAACATGATCCCTGAACTAATTCAGTGCCTGCAATACTTGGAGCCAGAGTCAAGCATGGAACCACGAATCTCTGGGGACACCTGCATGAATCCCAATAGGATCACCAACTTGTCCTAGGAGTAGAATGTATCCAAGCCAATTTATGTTCATTAGGGGGAATTAAGACCCCATCTAGCATCTAATCACAGACACATTGCCTCAAGGGCACTTACCAATTTACAATTATTTATTTACACCACACAAATTTACTTGCATAAATAGGTATGTGTATATTAATTCAAGAATTTTAATGTGCCATCAACAGGACTCCAGACATGTTTTAAATTTATACTAAATGAGTTATAATAGTTTAAAATAAAAGACAAATGTCAAGGTAAACACTAAAAAAGGACAGAAATGCAACAAATTCTCAATCTATGTGCACACACTCATGTATGTATTTGGTTTTGTGAAAATAGTTAGATTTTTCATCAAATCTTAATTCCAACTGGTTTACTTTCTAACTATGTAGAGTGTCCCTGAACTTGAGTATTTTATCTATATATAAATAGATTAACCCAATTTAAATTACAGGAAGTCATGTTTGTTGTTTGAGTTATAGCATTTGAAGTATTGAGCTTGAGTGCTTTCTTGGTTGGTGGCTGCTTTTAGGTCAACAGTGGTGTAATATTTTAAGATTTATTAACTATTAAAAGTCTACAAAGCGAGTTCCAGGAAAGGCGCAAAGCTACACAGAGAAACCCTGTCTTGAAAAACCAAAAAAAAAAAAAAAAAAAAAAAAAAAAGTTGTTTCCATTCATAAAGAGGTGTCCTCTTTAGGCTACCAGAAGCAATGAGAGAAGAGTGCAAGGGACTGACCCTGTCACCAAAGAGTTAAACGTCTGCTTGAGAAGATGAGAAATGGAGGCATAAAAAGAACCACTGTGGCTTTGTGATTTATGGAGTAGTTAAACATGCTTTCTCTCTGAGTGGCTAACAGTCCAGTGAGATTGGAGGGAAGGGCAGAATCCACCACACTCACTCTAGAGATGAGACCACCAAGACCATCCCATGGAAAGAGATGACTTCATTCAGTATGACCACAGAGCCAGTATGACAAACCATACTTCACACTATTCCATATTTCTTCCTAGAATAAGACAACTAAGATGAGCCTATACAGAGACCATCATATGCACTCTCTTGCAATAAATACAACTAGGCAAACCTAAGTACTGTAATTTGTTATAACATTCTATTAAAAGAACATAACAAGAGGGAAGGGCCACATTATGGTTACATGAATATATGACATCTATGAAATAGCTACACATGAGTGTCTAAAGAGGCATTACATTTTTATCAACTCACCTTCAGGTTGAGTCTTAACAGTTTTTAAGACAGAACTTGTTCTAGGAAGCACACAGCTTCGCCAAAACAGCTATAATGTGACAAGGTACCACCTACCTTGCAAATCTCGAGGAACTTCTCATTGGTGTATTTCATTGGGTGCTCAGTGAAGGTAGCATAGGGAACCTCAGTGGACCATGGGTTCCAGCGTGACAGTAGAGACTGCCCCTCAGTGCTCCCCCAGCAAATCCTAAGGCCTTCTCCTGGTCTCCTAAAGGGAGGGGGAGATTTTTATTAGATTGGGCATTTCTGTTAGATGTGTTGCAGGATATTTGATCACACTGTATGAAAGGTACCTTCTGATTCATTTAATGAAGAGCTAAATGGCCAATAGCTAAGGAGGAGAGACTAGGCAGGACTTCCAGGAAAGAGAAGAACTCAGGATGAATCTAGACACCAGCAAGATGCAGAGCAAGTCGGACATACAGAGTGGGAAAGAGGTAAAAGCCACGTGGCAGAATGTAGATGAATAGAAACAGGTTAATTTAAGTTATAAGAGCTAATTGGGAACAAGCCTAAGCTAAGGGCCAAACTACCATAATTAATAATAAGTTTCTGTGTTACTATTCGGGGGCTGGTGGCCTACAAGAAAGTTTGGCTACATAGATAAATCAACAAGAAAAATGTGACAAAGGACTGCAATGCTCCACTTAGCCTGTCTATTTCCACTGAGGTGAGTGCCTTACCTCAGATCAAACTGTGAAGGAATGTGGGAGGTGAAACAATGGGCCTGCTTTCAATCAGGGTAGGTGCAAGAAGTTGTTGAGAATCCACATGGAAATGTGACCCTGGTGTTCAGTCAACAGCCAGAGCTGGAAATAGAGGCGCTGGCCTCATGACAGAAGGCAGGAAGAATGGGAGACAGTCTCAAAGAGAGGGAAGAGGACATGAGGAGAAGCCATCATTTAGACAGCGGTAAACAGAAGAACTGACTGAGAGAGAACTTAAGATCTGCCAAATGAAGGACATCTATGATCCTTGAGACAGAGGAGGACCATTCAAAATGCTCAGCTTCCTAAGTCAGTGACCCCTCCGGTGTCCCCTTGTTCTCTGTTCCCTGCACAAAGGTCATCAGATGAAGCTGCAGCAGGGGACACACCAATGTTTATAGAGACTCTGCCCGCTTCCATCCCTACTCAGTCCTGGCTCCTAATGTGCAGAAGGAAGTCATTGTCTGACAGAACCCGGGCCTGGTCATCCATTAAATACAAATAGAAAGCAAGAGAAAGTTGAAAGGGAAGAGGAGGCAGGCAGTCATGGCAAAAGAGTGTAGCTACACTGAATAGAACCGGCGTGCATTTGGCGTCTTCTTCTCAATGTGTCTAGCTGAATTTAGGGTTTTTGGTTTCAACAGGGTCTGGATGCAGGAAGGTGCTGGGAGGTTAAGCCGAACTCAGGTTCCCCGCATTCAACAAGCTTTAGAACCAAATTGCCTGTAACTGTCAGCGGCTCTAAGAAGCATCCCACTCAGTTCATTTCTTCTAGAAATTCAATACCGGGATTTTGAGAATGAAAAACCAGAGCTTAATGGTGGTGACTTCACAAAGCTGTCACTTCCTGAATTAAGGAAGGGTTCCTTTGGGACTATTGTATGGTTTCTGAGTGTTTATCTATACAGGAATGAGTGTAAACAGTTTCACACATGCTCACACAGCCCTGCCTCTTGATGCCAAGCTCTGCGTCTTACAAAAGGAAAGAAAGGAAGGAACATGACCCAGTTCTCAGGTATTTGGTGATTGTATTTGAAAGCTGAAACTCAAGGTGTGTGTGTGTGTGTGTGTGTGTGTGTGTGTGTGTGTGTGTGTGTGTCTGTGTGTTTTGTTTGTTTTTTTGTTTTGTTTTGTTTTTTGAAACAGGGTTCCTCTATGTAGCCCTAGCTGTCCGGGAACTCACTCTGTAGACCAGGCTAGCCTGGAACTCACAGAGATCCACCCACCTCAGCCTCCTGAGTGCTGGGATTAAAGGCATGCACCACCACTGCCTGGCTTTGTTTTTATTTTTATTTTGTCCTTTGCCCAAAAAGTATACGAAAAAGAAAGACAAAGGAAGGAAGGAAGGAAGGAAGGAAGGAAGGAAGGAAGGAAGGAAGGAAGGAAGGAAGGGAAAAAATCTTATGCAAGCCTCTGAAATTCCCTTTCCAAACCCTACTTTCTCAGATGCTGTATTGATTCTGATCATACCCTTGTATTTTTTGGGTTTTTTTTTCCCTGCCCTGGCAATAAATCCCAACCTTTAGGGATACATGCTTGCTCATTTATGGAGCATTCTGGCTTGAGCCAATTAAAATAACTCGCACAATGGAATTCTTTACTACTTTGTATGTCAGCTTCTGCAGCAAATACAATTTTATTTATCAAAAAGGGATGAAAAATCTGTCAAGAAAGCTTGCCTTATAAGCACACTTGTTTTTTTTTTTTTTTCTTTAAGGGGCCCTCAAATGAAAGTCAAGCATAAAATTCAAGAAGGATATTATTGTTAAATATCTGATTATTTTGACCATGACGATGGCCTTTTCCAGAACATTAGGAGATGTTAGGAAGGTGGGAAGAAAATATAAAGCTAAGTATCCACTCCATAGGTGGCGTTTGAGGTGCGGCTTGCCGGGCCCTGTCGCATAGGACTGGGATGAAAGCTTGTGGCCCGCCTCTCGCTAAATGTTTGGGGGATAATTGTGGTGACTAAACATACCTTTATGACCAGAAATATTTCATGTTACAGTTACTCATAGAGAGAATAAAAAAGTTAATAAAGTAGAGAACAAAATGCAAAGAACAAGTTGTCAATAGTCCTAGGTCAGTCAGGATTTTGACTCAATACAGTAGGGTTAGGGACAGATCACATTTCCCTTTCTGAATCTCATTGTGAATTGGAATCTGATTGATTTCTCCTACTGAAACTTCAGAATATGTTTGTACACACAATAAAAATTGTATGGCCTCCACATCCATTCCTTAGTCATTGAGGGTTTAGATATTGTGACATTTAGTTATGTCAGTACTGGGAGTGATATAAAAACTGTCATCATGTCACACATATCAGGTAGCTCACAACCAGCTATAACTACAGCTTCACATGATCTGATACCCTCTTCCAGCACCCCATCGCCATGACACGCATACATGTACATACATGCACACAGATATACCCCTATATAAATAAAAGAAATCTTGCTTAAAAAGAATAGATGAAAAAACGTTTTGTATGCTATATATATGGCATTATGCATATGCAAGGCTTGATACGTTTTATATTTTTTTATTTTATTTGATCTAGACAATAGTGTGTTTTGAGCTAAGTTGGTAGATGTAATTGTAGGAAACAGAACAGACTTAATCAGGTCATCAAGTCAAGAACTGCTAGTGAACTAGAGCAAACAGAAAGGGAGCACTCTTCAACCCACAGGAAGTCTCAGGAGGTTCTGTGCTTGTCGAAGCCACTGACCCCTTTCTTCCACCCGACTGTGCCCAAGAGTACTCCCTATGTGCTCTGCCTGCTTTTCAAGCTGGAGTTAGTGTCTATGATTCAGGAACCTAAGTTCTCCGGACAGACCTTCCCATGGATAGCTTAAACTGGCTTTCAATTCTGCTTTCTTTAGGTGAAATGAACACAGCCCCTTAACTGTTCTAACGGGTTAAGAGAACCTCTGCAATCAGCCCAGAAGCTGTCACCTAATCGGTGCTACATTCTGTCTCCAGAGCCACCACTTAATTAGAACAGTCTCTGTTGGTGCAACTGTAGGTAAAGAGGGAGACCCAGACCCCATGTTCCAGGAGCAAATCAGATGGTCTCTGAGCCAGCGTGGCCATCATTTGATCTTTCTAGACCACACATAGACGTAGAAACCCAACAGAGGTGAAAGACTCTCACCGCGACTTCTTTTATTTCTGTTTTCTACCCTCTGGATCTGGCCTTTTCATGGCATTTTCATTGTTCTAGAAGTAAGAAAGGTGATGTGGTCTTTGCTCCCTGAAAACCTCAAAGTACTACAGAAACAGGCCAAAATAGAGCAACAGCCCATGAAAGAGCAACTCTCTCCAGGAGAGAACTTGGTGAAATGTTTGTGATGATCAATTTTAGAATCCTAGACTTCTAAAGTTAGAAGGAACTTTCTGGGATAGTTTGCACATCAGTCTCTCTGTGTCTCTCTCTCTCTGTGTCTCTCTGTCTCTGTCTCTGTCTCTCTCTCTCACACACACACATTCACATACACCCACTCACATAATACATTCCCATACACACACACACACACACACACACACACACACACACACACACACACGTACCCTAAGAACTAGAATTTTCAAAGGCCTCAGTTCTTTTTAGACCCATGTTAATTATCTGCTCTACTCAGTGACTCAGAGTTCTAAAATACAGTTATTGGCAGGGAAGGAAGCCTCGGCAATTACAATTTTCAGTCACCACAACCAGCCAGGTTACCTTCTACAGTAACAAAGCAAAGGCGTGCTGAAGAAGTAAGCTTAAAATGAAGGATTTACTCATACAGGGGCCAGAGCACCATGTGCCTGAAGAAGTATGTTTTAAGGACAAAAAGTAACTCCAAGTTGAACGGAGAGAAGCATCTCTTCAATCAGGACGGAGTCTTTTCAGGAAGACCTCCTCTGCCTCTTCCTGAACTGGGCTAGGCCCTGCCAGTGCCTTCTCTGGCTGAAACTTTGTTCATTCCATGACTTTTTTTCCTTCCTTGGGGGAGAAGCCATGCATCGTTTTGCACAGGACAGCACAGCCAGCTTCCCTGCCTCCTGCTCCTCCAGCTTGGCCTCCCAAGATTCTCTCTGATGAGGCAGGAGCCAAAGACTGCTCCCAAGAATGAGAAATAGCAGCTTCCATTATTACCTCGTCAGCTGCCCCTCCTTTCCACCCATCTCAAATCTCAAAGCTGCACCACAGAATTAAAAACATAGCTGGAGGCACTGAGTGGAGATTTATGAGGAAGCACAGATATTAACTCTTACTCTAAACGCAGGGCGTGTGCTTGTAAGGAACTGGTGAGCAAACACAGGGTGGGGGTGGGGGGTGGGGGGAAGCAGAGCTGTTCAGAACAGCACAGCCTTAGTTTCTTCCTGTCTCCTTTCGCCTTCATTGTTGAAAGGCAGATCTTCTAGACCCATGAAACGTTAGTCCCTTTCTTATTTAATCTGGACAAAAGCAGGGGCCGAGTTGGCATCGTGGTGGGTATTCAAGTCTCCCTTG